ATTGGGGGGTCCCCCGGCCCACCCCCCCCCCCCGCCCCAAACTCCCCTTGGCTGGAAGATTCTGGAGCAGTCCCCAGGGAGGTAGGGTGGGACCCCACCTGACTCAGTTTGGCTTCCCCTCCAAGGTCTCGGCCACTGGGGGCCCCCTGCCCCCTGTCAGCACACTGACAGCACTGCACAGCTTGGAGCAGACATCCCCAGGTCTCAACCAGCAGCCCCAGAACCTCATCATGGCCTCGCTTCCCGGGGTCATGGCCATAGGGCCTGGTGAGCCTGCCTCCCTGGGCCCCACGTTCACCAACACGGGTGCCTCCACCCTGGTCATTGGTAAGCTGGTGGGGTGGACGGGGGCATCTGGGTGAGGGGCTCATGGGGCTCCCACAGAATCCAGGAGCAGGACGAGCCACTGGGACTCATTCCTTCATGTATTTATTGAGTGCCCACTCTGTGCTCCACCAGTGATACACAAGTGGACCGAACAGCCCTAAATCTCAGCCACCCAAGTGGGGAGGCAGACAATAAGCAGAATATGGGTTTTGGCCAAAAAGTTGGTTCAGGTTTTTCCCAGCAGCTTACAGAAAACCCCGAACGAACTTTTTGGCCAATCCAATACATAAGTTATATAATACCTTAAAAGGGAAAACAGCTATGGGAAAACAGAGCAGAGCAAGGGGGACTGAAGTTTTCTAGGTTTTAGGTTTTAGTTTTTTTTTTTTTTAAAGCCCAGAAAAACTTTATTCAGAACTATTATGCAGAAACTCAATATATAAGACAGACAGGGAGCTGCTGGGAGCCGGGTACAGAGAGTTAAGCCCCAGGGCCTTTGCATTGTTGTGGAACCCCAGGGCTCCAGGGACCCCTGCCCTTATGACTGAGCTAGCAGCTCAGAGGGGGAGTTAACTTGCCAGGGCTGTAACTTAGTGAAGGTGCCTAGTACAAGGCTGTTTCCTGATTACCTTGTCCCCTCCTCCTACCCACTGGCCCTAGGAGGGAGGGATGGTGCCCCTGGGGGTCAGGGCTGGGCCTGGGGAGGCCATGGAGGCGGCAGGAGGTCTGGCTGACTCCTGCCCCTCCTGCTCCAGGCCTGGCCTCCACGCAGGCACAGAGCGTGCCGGTCATCAACAGCATGGGCAGCAGCCTGACTACCCTGCAGCCCGTCCAGTTCTCGCAGCCCCTGCACCCTTCCTACCAGCAGCCGCTCATGCCCTCCGTGCAGAGCCACGTGGCCCAGAGCCCCTTCATGGCCACCATGGCCCAGCTGCAGAGCCCCCATGGTGAGCACCCCTCGGCCCCCCTGCTGGGGGAGGTGGTGGGAGAGGCTGGCTGTCGTTGAGACCAGGGGAAGGGGGTGGCTTAGCAGATGCTGTGGTCTGTGTGTGTGTCTGATTCAAGTGTGAGTGCTTCTGTGACGGGGGCTCTGCGGTGCTCAGATGAGCGTCTGGGGGCTGGAATACGTTTCAGTGTGTGAATCCGTGTGGCTGCGTGTGCACGCACATGGGTTTGTGTGAGTGGGTGTTTGTGTGTGCACACCCACGTGTGCCCTTGGGGCCATATGTATTTCTCAGCTTTTAGAAAGGTAATGTGGTGCATACACCATGAATGACACAACACTCCCAGCAGGGCTTGGGGCAACACCCTGCATCAAACACCATGATTCCTGCAGCAAAAGGTAGAATTCCACGAAGTGGGTTAATAAAGACTCCGCCTCACATCAAGTTCAGGTCACATTTTGCCACCAAATGAGCTCTAGTGCCAACCAGACAAAAACCTGTTGGCTTTCAGACCTTTCTGGAACTTGGACTCTTGGATAAGGGCTTGCGGACATGAACATCTGTGTATTTGGTTGAGGGCACCATTTATGTGTGTATGTGGGTGGTTGTGTTTTCATCTGAGTCCATGTGAGAATACGTGATTTATGTTGTTTTCTACTGGCATCTGTGTGAGTATTTGTGGGGCTGGAGACTACAGGTGAAATTCTGGGTTAGACTGTGGAGAGGGGTCCTGAAGATGCAGAAAGGCTGCCCCCTCCTCAACCCCTAACAGGAACCCTGGCCTTTCCCTCCAAGGCCCGTACTTAGTGCCCTAACAGCACCTGTGCCTCCCGTTGCCCTTCACACCTGTCCTCTCGAGGTGACCGTAGGAGCTGGGTTTGGGTTCCCGGCCTCGCCCAGGCTCCTCTCCACCGAGACAGGCGGAGCAGGGCCCTGTGGCTGGGGAGAGCGTCCAACCCCTCTACCTGGAGCTCCCAGTTTTGGAAATCAGCCCTGAGTCCCCAGCCACTGCCCCACTGGGCTGCTCACCAGGCCCACGCCCCATCTCCCCCAGCCCCCCACCTTGAGGCCCTCCTGGGAGGGGTCCAGCCCAGGCCAGGTGCCAAGCCTGTGTCCCCCTCTCTCCTCCCTCCCTCCCGGCCAGCCCTCTACAGCCACAAGCCCGAGGTGGCCCAGTACACCCACACGGGCCTGCTTCCGCAGACCATGCTCATCACCGACACCACCAACCTGAGCGCCCTGGCCAGCCTCACGCCCACCAAGCAGGTAAGGCCCAGGCCTGCCCCGGCCCCTCCCTGGGTCCTGCCCCAGCGCACACCCTGGGGGCTCAAGAGCTGCCCTTCTGCCAGGTCTTCACCTCAGATGCTGAGGCCTCCAGTGAGTCCGGGCTTCACACACCAGCATCCCAGGCTGCCACCATCCATATCCCCAGCCAGGACCCTGCTGGCATCCAGCACCTGCAGCCCACCCATCGGCTCAGTGCCAGCCCCACTGGTGAGTGGCCTTTCCCTGCCCCCACCCCTGCCATCCCCATAGCTGGGGAGGAAGTCGTGGGCAGCAGACGGGGGGGCAGGGAAGGGGTAAATGCGAGGGGCCCCTGTGCTCCCCTGAAGTGAGCCGAGGGGGGTGTGAAACCACAGGAAATGGGCCTGTCTCACAGGAACATCTATTAACTCAGTTGAGGAAAAAGATAACTGGAAGAGGTGGTAGGGGGTAATCAGGAGGTAAGAACTGGGCTTGCTGGGGACCAGAAGTGACTCATGGGTGTGTTGCTTTAGCTCAGGGTTTAGCATTTTTTTGAATTTGTTGCCAACAGCTAAAAATTAAGAGCGTTCATAGACTTCTGGCTCCTCTTGCAAAGTCGGAAGGACTCGTGTTGCCCCGTGGCAACCACAGAGTGTGGGCTCCCCAGCCCACCACGTCCCACCCAACCCACACATTTCCATTCCCTGAAGACGTGAGTCTGCAGCCCACAACGTCAGGGTGAAGAGCAGGCACTTTGGAGTCAGGCTGCTGGGCTTTGAGACCCACGGCAGCCACTTGCTGAGTGTGAGCTTCAGCATCCTCCATCCAGCCCTGGTGGCTACAGGGACAGTCACTGAGGGCTCCACGGCCCCGGCTCTGTGCTCTACCCATGAGGTGTGTGTTGGCGCCCCCGGTTTACAGATGAGAAAGCACTCGAGGAGGACTTGGTAGCGCTTCCAACAGCCACTAGGTAGTGGGACCAGGACCTGAACCCAGGTCCAAACTCAAAGCCCATTCATGCTCTCTTGAGGGTTCTCCTGAGACGCAGAACCAATAGGAAAACGCGCGCGCGCGCACACACACACACATTTAAGGAATTGGCTGATACGACTGAGGGCTGGCGGGTCTGAGAGCTGCAGGGTAGGAGGTGGTGCTGCAGTCTCCTTCTCCAGGAAACCTCAGCCTTTGCTCTTGAGGCCTTCAACTGACTGCATGAGGGCCACCCACATTATCAAGGGAACTCTCCTTTACTTAAAGTCAGCTGACGTAGGTGTTAACCACATTACAAAATACCTGCGCAGCAACATCCGCACTAGGGTTTGGCTCAATGACGGGGTACTAAAAGGCAGCCAAGCTGACGCATAAAATTAAGCACGACGCCGGCTCACCAGCGCTTCTGTGATGTTCCCACTAAAATGTGCTGGGAAGGCCACTCCCTCGTGGCCCTGGAGCCTGGCGGGGTGGGGGGTTAACAAGGCCCGAGGGCAGAGGTGTGACTCTGGGGTCCGGTCACCTGCTGAGATTCAGGAGGTGGCGAGGTGCCACTTTCCCATCCCGAGTACCCCTTAGGGATGGTGGGTGGGGAGGGGTCGGGATGGGCGTGGCAGGCAGCCAGCCACCTCCTCTGCCTCTGCAGTGTCCTCCAGCAGCCTGGTGTTGTACCAGAGCTCCGACTCCACCAACGGCCATGGCCACCTGCTGCCGTCCAACCACAGCGTCATTGAGACCTTCATCTCCACGCAGATGGCCTCTTCCTCCCAGTAACCATGGACACGGCCTCCCAGGGGATGGGCCCTGGAGCCTACACAGCCTGCTGGAGGGGTGACCAAGACGTTTGAGCCTGCAAAACTTTCACTGCCCCCAGGCTGCTGCTCTTCCCTGGAAAACTGTGCCTCAGTCCCCACCCTGTTCCCCTCAGGAAAGGGGGGTGTTCTGAGGCGCCCCAACCCAAGGAGGGCTGCTTCAGTGCACAAGAGGGAACCATGCAGAGCTTGGAAGCAGAGCCTGTTCCTGGTGGGACTCGGGAGGGACTGTCCCTGCTGCTCAGGGTAAATCTTGTCACTTGGAACAGAAGGGGGCAGGCTTGGACTCTGGTACCCCCAGGCCGGGCCTGTGGAGATCCCTGGCACCCCGCAGGGAACTGCCAGCCACACTTCTCAGGACACCAGCCTGTGTAGCTGGGAGAGAGGTCACAGCTCAACGTGGCCCCATTCTGTCACCTGTGCCCCAATCAGGCCACTCCACTCAGCCCCCCTTCCTGCTTTTAACCCGCACACCCATTTGGACCCACCTGTCCCCGCTCACATAAGCATCGTCTGAGTGGCTCCTCTATGCCAGGGCCTGGGGCAAGCAGGCCTCTTCAGCTTCCCTCGTCCCGAGCCATCCCTCTCCCCGGCCGCCATGACCTCCCGTATTCTTGGACATCTGTCCCCCTGCGCATCACACCTTCTGATGCCAGCCTGACATCTCGCCTCTACTGGAAAGCCCCCCACCCTCGCAGGCCTAGGTGCTGTCCCTGCTCCTATGGGAGACTCGTGACTCTGTGCCTGGTGCCACGTCAAGGTCGGGGGGCAGCAGACCCCTCCCTGCTTTGGGGGAGAAGCTGCTGAGCTCAGAAGGTGGTAAGGCCGGGACAGCTAGCAGAGCTGAGGGGCCCAGAGGGAGAAGAGAGGCGAGACCAGAGGAGAGGTTGCCGCCTAGAAGCTTGGCGCCCAGCTAGCTGAGGGGAGGCGTTCACAGCCCCCCACCCCGGGGAGGCTGAAGTCCTGAGGGACAAGGGAGCCATGCCAACCAAGGGCTCATCTCCCTGGGGCTGCTGCAGACAACCCAGCCCTAGTGGACTGCCTCCATCCTGGATTGAGGAAGGAGCCAGGGGAGAACTGGCATCCCCTGAAGCTTGCAGCTGGCTAAGGGCGAGCCTGTACATTTATTTAACTCTTAGTAAAGTAAATGAGGAACGTGTTGAAACGTCTTGCTTGTCCACACATCGCCCAGATGGGATTGGGCAGGCAGAGGGGGGCGGAAGGGGACCAGTAGCCCAAGGAGGGATGGGGCCGGCACACAAGCTCTCACATCCCACCTCTGTCTTCCTTGCTTTGCCGAATCTCCAAGGCCAGGCAACGAAGCCAGCACTTCACCTTCACCTTGAACTTCTGCTCCTTCTTGCAGGATACATGGGTCCACGAATCCCCCAGGCCACGAGTGCTGTGACACTTCCTGAAGTCTTGACGCTGGGGTAGGGGAACACTTCTGGGGGTGTAGGCAGGACCCCTCCTGTGTGATGCTTACTTATAGTGGCTCATCAGGATTCAGCACAGACACGAGGGCGGCACCCAAATCCCTCTGTTACATTCTGGGTCCCTCGACAATTTATTTTCAATTATCCAGTTGGCTCAGAGACATGATCATGCATGGTGTATTCACAATGTGAAGAAAGAAAATTCTGGAAAGCCAGGTAGAGGCAGGGATCTCTCTCCTTCTTTTCCAGACAATGTTATATCAGGTCTGTGTGGCTTGTAGGGAGATGCACAAAACTCCTCCTGGGGCTTGGCATCTCGGGGACGCCCTCCCTCGTTTTCTTCAGGTCATGTCCCACACCAGGCTGAGGAGGCGGAAGCTCTACCACTTGGCCATCAGCCTTCAATAACTGGGAGGCTCCTCCTTCTTCCTGAGGTCACAGAATGTTCTGGTACCACGGGTCTGCCCCAGCCCCAGCGGGAGCACAGAAGGGCAGGCCTTGCTCATCCTACAACCGCTTCTTTGCCCCGACCCTTGGGCCAGCCCCAGTCATGGGCGAAGTCTAGACTTGCTAGCCAAGTCCTTGCACTTGGAGAAGGAGGCGGAGCTTCGACATGCCTGAGCTGGGCCCCGTGCTCACAGGCGGGGCTCAGTTTGCAGGCACGGCTGCTGTGCTCTTTGCTGGTGGGGATGGGGAGGTCTCACTGGCCCTCTTTGTCTTTTTCTTCCTTTTCTTCTTTTTGGTCCCAAACGGTGCCTGGTCTCCACTGAGCCCGGCGGACTCCCTTCCCTGCTCCCCAGATGCGGCCTTGCTTGCGGTGGTGGCCGCGGGGGCGAGGTTGGCGCTGTCCTCCTTGGCTTTCTTTTTCCACTTCCTTTTCTTCTTCTTTGCCTTTTTCTCCACGTTGCCAGGGCCGTGGATGGCGGACTCCTGGACGATGTCAGAGGCTGACACAGCCGCCTCCCGGCAGCGCTGCAACTCGTCGCCGTCCTCGCTGCTGCAATGGGAGTGCAGGCCGGGTCAGCTGGAGTCGGGACGGGACCCCAAAGCCACCTCTCGCTGCCTCTGTCCAAGCCACCAGAGAGAGGCCACAGACAGAGGGTGGCGGTTGGAGAACTCAGGCTTGGCAGTGAGGCAGAGCTGGGTTCCAATACTGGCTTCTCTGCTTCACAGCTGTGTGACCTCACCATTGTGACTTAACCTCTCTGACCCTCAGTGTCTTCATCTATAAATTGGGGATCTTAACAGAGCCCAGGCCTCACAGGGATGTCCCAGGAGTGCAGTATCCGGCAAAAGATGGGTGCTTGAAAAGCAGTAAACATCCAAAGCCAACGCCCAGTGGAAACGCTTCCCCCTCCCACTGAGGTACTATTTCTCCAGCTACTGACAGGGCTTCTTCTGGACCTGGACCTGACTGGAGTTGGCCTGGCTATTTGGGGGGCAGGGGGTCTGGCCAAGACAGAACACAGGCAACAACGAGGGAACTTGAGGAGTGGGTGTGCCATCTCACCTGGAGCTGGAAGGCAACCGTTTCCGGCGGGGCTGGGGAGCAGCCTCCTTCTCAGGGCCTCCAGGGATGGACGTGAAGAAAAGGCGGAAGCCTGCAACCCACAGGGGCAGAGTCAGCACCGCCAGGGGCACCCCAGGGGCTGAGGCTGCCCCGTCTCTGCCCTCAAGGAGATGCCCTCAGTCCAGCGGGCATCGCTCCTGTCTAACTACAAAACGGTGCCTCGTGGGATGAGAGGCACACTTGCTACCTGCTGCAGTGAGAGGATGGGGTGCTTGAGGGGATGAGTACTTGAGCCGAGTCAGCAAGCCCTCAGAGGCTTCAGGGAGTCAGCAGCTGAGCCTCCTGCCTAAGGCAGCTCGCCGAGTGGCTAATGAGTTGGGCAGGGGACAGAGACTCATGTGGGAGAGGCTGCAGGGTGCACTGGCTAGGCGCTCCTGCTTAGGGTCACCTCGGGCCAGTGTCTGCATTCCTCAGAGCCCCAGTCCCCTCACGATTCCCCCCTGTGAACAGGATCACCATAATACATGCCTCGGACAGGGGCTGCAGGGATGAAAAAAGATAAAATGCCAAAAAGGTATTTCCCAGCTCCAGACTCACGGGAGGCGCTTAATAAAGGAAAGTATAACTACTCACCATCATCCTCCAGGACGCCTCTCGGTACCTCAGCCTTTCTTGGCTCCTTCACTACTTCTGAGATGGTAATGGAGCTAAGGGAAGAGATGGTGGATTTAAGATGAGATTCTGGGTAACAATGAAAATTCTTTTTAATTAAAACTTGCTTTTCTCCCTTTAAGTGGAGGGGGTGGGGTAATGCCATACTAAGTGCAAAGGCGGAGAGCAGCCCGGCCTGATGGGGACGCAGATGTCCATACTGCCAGCTCAAACTGCGGTGCCTCACTGGTTTAAACCCTCTTTATTCCAGAAATTGCTGAAGAAGTTTTGAAGATACTCACAGTACAACAAAGTGAGCGCAAGGCGAAGCGAAAACAAGAGCAGGAAGAACAGAAAGAGCCCGAAGTGTGGCCAGGAAGCCCTACACACTTGCTAGACAGAGGGTACACATTTCGTTCTGAACTTCCTGGCAGCAAGCACGAAAAGGGAAATAATGACCAGTCCAGAAAAAAACAGTTCAGGGCTTCCCTGGTGGCGCAGTGGTTGAGAGTCCGCCTGCCGATGCAGGGGACGCGGGTTCGTGCCCCGGACCGGGAAGATCCCACATGCCGCGGAGCGGCTGGGCCCGTGAGCCATGGCCGCTGAGCCTGCGCATCCGGAGCCTGTGCTCCGCAACGGGAAAGGCCACAACAGTGAGAGGCCCGCGTACCGCAAAAAAAAAAAAACAGTTCAGGGCTTCCCTGGTGGCGCAGTGGTTGAGAGTCCGCCTGCCGATGCAGGGGACGCGGGTTCGTGCCCCGGACCGGGAAGATCCCACATGCCGCGGAGCGGCTGGGCCCGTGAGCCATGGCCGCTGAGCCTGCGCATCCGGAGCCTGTGCTCCGCAACGGGAAAGGCCACAACAGTGAGAGGCCCGCGTACCGCAAAAAAAAAAAAAACAGTTCAGAGGTCAGCTCCTAGAGCAGGGCAGACCTGTTTTTTTGTTGTTGTTTGTTTTTTAAAAATTTTTAAAAACTTGAGCTAATTGTAGATTGACTTACAGTGCCAAGAAATAATACGGGGAGATCCACGGACTCCCCCCCACCCTGGTTCTCCCTCTGGTGACACTGCGTGTAACTAGGGTCCACTATCACAACTGGGAAACTGACTTTGCTACAACCCACCGACCTTTTTCAGACTTCAGACCTGGGTTTTGAATCCCGATTTTGTCACTTACTAACAAGGGACTTCATCTCTCTGAGCCTGTGTTACACGTCTCTACACTGTGAGTAATAAGAGTCCCCGCCTCCGAGGGCTGTGACAAGAATTAAATGAGACAGTGGATACCAAGCCCTGAGCACAGAGCCTGGCTGCAAGCCAGTGCTCAGTAAACAGCAGCTACGACGATGCTGAAGATGACTACTGTTGTCAAGATAAGCAATGAACTCACAAGACCCCCTTTCTCTAGAAGCACAGAGAGAGTGGGGAGAACTGACAAGACCAGGAAGCAGGTCTTGGGCGAATGCTGTGGGGGCAGTCACCTCGCACGCACCGCAGAGACTGACGCTCTCAGCAACATCCTCGCAGCGAACACAGCAATGCACTGGGTGCTTCTCTTAACTGCCTTCTGTAGGTGCCAGAGGCCTCCCCGAAGTCCTGTGTGGGACGTGGTCTGGGGAGAGGGAGCAGAGACGCGGTCTGGCCCAACTGGGCGCCGCCCCTGACCCGGGTAGTATCTAACCCAGTGGTTCAACGTCGGTCCGCAGGGGACACCAGGCAATGACTGGAGATACAGTTGGTTGTCACAGCTGGTGGAGAGACGCTACTAGGATCACATAGGTAGAGGCCAAGGATGCTGCAAACCATCCTACGTGCACGGTATAGCCCCACACAACCACGGACAATCCAGTCCAAAATGTCCATAGTGCCAAGATGAGAAACCCTGATCTAACACAAGGGACCAACTGGAGTATCATTTCTTTGGAGAGAAATATGGGAATGCTGCAGGTAATATCCTGACCGCGTGTAACCCGCATCCTGCTGGATTTCCACCTAGGGAAGCATCCATTGTGGATCACTGCAATGCCAGGCAGGCCCTGGTCACCCTGAAGGTGAACCGTCATGGAGAAAAACCACTCCCATGGGTTGAGATGCTAACTGACCTTCCTAAACATGTTTAACACATTCCCAGGTTGGGGGACTGGCACTAACGCCATGGGGGCGCAGGCTGCTGAGGCCTGGCCCAACATTCTTTCTGGGAAGAGCAGCTGGTGTGCACTTTGGGAAGGCTTATTTGTCCTTTTTCAATGACTACTTCAAATTGAAGGACTATGGCCTGACCCTCAATCTCCTTTTCAAAACCTGCTAGGCTGGGGACTTCACTGGTGGCACAGTAGATAAGACGCCGCATTCCCAATGCAGGGGGCCCGGGTTCGATCCCTGGACAGGGAACTAGATCCCACATGCATGCTGCAACTAAGAGTTTGCATGTCACAACTAAGGAGCCCTGGAGTGGCAACTAAGACCTGGTGCCACCAAATAAATAAATAAATATTAAAAAACAACAACAACAAAAACCCTGCTAGGGCTCTGTCAAGTGGGGATGGATGTAGACCAGCGTATCCCGGAACACGTCCCATGACACGCCATCAGTCATCCATGGAACACAGGCATTGTGGCCAAATGAATTCACAAGATGCTGGGCTAAACAAAGTTATACAGGTCTCTTTACTGCAGGACTTCTCAGGGCCTTGAATACACTATTAGGAATCTAAATCTCCCAGGCACGGGGGTATGCAGAGTGCAGCGTTTCTCCACCTCTTTGCTGTTGGACCCCTTTTGTCAAGAGCCACACTCTGGACTCACATTTCTGGGCACCTATTTTGGGAATGCTGACCTGGATCTTTACAGATTGTATTCTCACAGTGCCTGGCATACAGAAAGCACCCAAGAAATAGGAATTCAGTCGGTCCCTTGCCCTCTTGCAGAGGGAATGAGCTCGGGTTCCCCACTTCGTCTCGTGGGAGCAGGACTGCACAGTGGTTAAGAGCAGGGCCTTTGGAGTCAAAGCCACTCTGCTCCTTCCTCCCTGTGACTTCAAGCAAATGCTTCCTCTCACAGAGCAGAGCCTGTTGCCACATCTAGAGAAGGACAATGACAGGACCTTCGTGGTAGAGTGACTATGAAGCGATGAGGTGACAAATGCCACATGCTTGCCGCGATGCCGACTTACACACTCTGAGCTTCCAGGCCATGGGAGCCCTTACTCTTCATATTAATGAATAAGGGCAGGTTACCTGTCCAGCAGGGCTCCCAGCATCTTAGCTACGTGTGCTCGGAATTCAGGGGTGGTCTGCAGCTCGTTGCCGTCTTGTTCATGCTCATCCACCTTGTGCCTACAACACACACGAAAAAGACCTCACTTCCTGCCAGCTCAGAAGCTACCCCCATGAGGGTGGGGAAGACATGTGTCTGGTTCGCACTGACATCCCAGGGTCTAATAGCCTCTGGCACGCAGCAGGGGAGCAATATCAATGAATGAATGCGTGAAATGTGAACCCAAAGTGCACAGTACCTGAGGCTCGGTTGGGTGGTTGGCAATGGAGTATTTGCAGCACCTGTGAAAATAACGAACACCAAAGCATTTACAGAAGAAACGACTATAGCATCAGTTGTGTGCCAAGCACTATTTTATGTGATTTACACGTATAGCTCATTGAATGTTTCCAGTGACCCCATGGGGTGGGGGTTACCATTATCCCCATTTTGCAGAAGAGGAAACTGAGGCAAGGAGATGTAAAATAACTTAGCCAGGGTCAAACAGCTAATAAGCGACAGAGTTGGGATGAGGACCCAGGCCATCTGGCTCCAGAGGCCCCGCCTTAACCACCATGCTGGACAAGCAAGTGTAATTTGATTCCAGCATTTATTGAGTGCCTACTATGTGCTTGGCTGTGTGCTAAGTGCTGCGGAAGAGAGAGAAGAAGGGGGCTCAGTTATGTTGATCACTGGACTGGGAGTCTGGCTGGGGTCTCAGCCTCCACATTCATTAGAGGTGCCTTTCTGGCAAGTTCATTTATTTAAGAACTATTTTCCTGACCACTGTGTAGGCCCTGGGGATACCATGGTGAAGGGATACCAGCCCTCGTGAAGTTCACATCATGTAACCTCTTGCTCAATAAGTATTTGTGGATCAAGTACAGGCCAGAGTTGACTCTAGGTGCTGGGGATGCAGGGATGAAAGGAAAAAAGACAGGATAAATAAAGAGGCGATTGTAGAAGAAAGGGAAGCATTATATACGAAGGGAATCACACAAACTATGATGATGGTGGAGAGAAGGCATGTAACCCAGCTTTCCCGAAGAGATGGTGTCTCAGCTGTATTATTAAAGGATGAGTGGGAGTCAGACAGGAGGGGGAAAGCAGTCGATGGAAAAAGACCGATCACATAATTGCTGCTATTTATTGGGCCTTTAATATGTGCCAAGCACTGCACATACATCATCTCAGCTCCTTCTCAACCTTACGGGGTAGGTACTACCATTACCCCCACTTTACAGATGAGGAAATTTAAATACAGTGAGATTTAAGTACCTTGACCAAATTTCTTACTGCTATTAAGTGATGGGGATGGAAAGGCATTTCTGCCTATAGAAAATGAAGAGAAAACTGCAGAGTTATGGTGCCCACAGACGAGAGGGCGCAGTATGGTCTGGAGCCTACCTACGGGAAGTGTGCAGTATGGCAGAAAGGCAAAAAGGGACAGGCAGGCAGGCAGGGAATGGATTACCAAAGGGCTTGTAAGTCCTTTTCGACAAAAGCAGGGGTTCTTTGCCATGGCCTGCTCTGGCAGTCTGGTAAAGCCTGGATCCCTTCTCAGAATGTTTTAGATGCAAAAAATGTAACACATAGGATTACAAAGAAAACCAATGATACTGAAATTCAGTTATCATTAATAGCAAAAAGCCAGATTTGGACATTTTGTTGTTCACATATTGTTGTTCACATATTGTGAATAAAATGTTTCTGATATATCTGCAAAGACTGTAATGGGATTTGAAAATCTGCAACTTTTGTTAAGACAAAGTAACAGGTACTGCCAAAACTACTGTGGCTTGTTGTTCATATGCATGATGGAAAGAGATGCTAAATTTCAAGCAGAGATTAATGAAAGTAAAGATGAAATATTTTTCCCATTCAGATTCACGGACCCTCTGGATTTTGTCCGGGATTAGGTACCCTTAAGTTAAGGGGTTTTGGATTTATTCCCAAGGCACTAGGGAGTCACGGTCAGAGAGACACGTACGACACAGCTCGCTGGCAGCCCCAGGGAGTGAGAAAGTGTTGGAGGCGGGGAAAGGCTGGATGCGAAAACCCAGTAAGGGTCGCAGTCACCTCGGAAAGGTGGTGGGCTGCGCAGGGTGCGAAAATTAGGATGGACCCAGGGAAGCAAAGTCAAGAGACATTCAGGTGACTTGGTTTCTCCGACAGGGATAATGGAACAAACCTCCCTGCTG